CTTAACCAATGTCTAACATCTCAACCAATCTATTCATTTCAACCAATCTATTCATCTCAACCAATTTCTATCCTTACTGGGTTCATCATCATCAAACAACAAAACTTACAAAAAAAAAAAAAAAAACAATTTTTTTAAACAAATTTTTTACCTCTGGATTCTTTTGAACCCAAGCGTGCTAGGTTCAAAGGAACCTAGCACCTAGGTTCAATCGAACCCAATAGACACCTTTCTTTCTCTTTCCTCTTCATTGCTTTGCCTTGCCTTCTTCATCAATCAATTATTCATCTTCATAAATCAACAAACCCCCCCCCCCCAAATAAATAAAAAAAAAAGAAAACAAATTTTTTTTTCCCCGGGAACCTAGGGCGTGGGTTTAATTGAACCCAAGTGTGGGTTCAATCAAACCCAGGCATGCTGAGTTCGATGGAACCTCGACGTGGGTTCCATGAACCCAGCAGTTGGGTTCAAAGGAACCCACGCTTGCTGGGTTCCAAGGGGAAAAAAGAAAGGGAAAGGAGAAGAGGAAAGAGAAAGGCCTGGGTTCCAAGGGGAAAGAAGAAGAGGAAAGAGAAAGGAAAAAAGAAGAAAAAAGAAAAGAAGAAGAAGAAAGAATTAAGTTTTATTTTTTTATATTATTATTTTTTTCATGTCACTTTTTTTTTTTTTGTCATATTAGCTATAACATGTATTAATATTTGACATGTTAGCATATAACCGTGAAGTAATAGGTCACATCACGAGTTATTTTATGAAAGGACTAAATTAGGGTTAAAATGGTAAACAGTAAAGATCAAATTAAAAATCTGTATAATAATTTAAGGACAAAAATAAGATTTTACTCTTTTATTTTTTTAAATGGGAGGAAAAAGAGTTGTAAAGTGAGCAACCGCAACCGCAACTTAAAAACAAAAAAAAAAAAAAAATTCTCCCTCAAGGATTGATACAATGATAAGTTTTTTATATAATTTTTACATATTATTAAATAAATAAATATATTTAATAACACAAATTTAAATATATAAAAAGAGTTAATTATTTAAATAATATAAAAAATTATATAAAAAATAATATAAAAAATTATCTCTAAACCATTTACTTTCTCCCATATATATATTTTAGTTTTAAATTAATTTTTAACTTTTTATATATAAATTTTAAATAAAAATTTAATAGACTATTTCAATTTTTTAAAATAATTAATAGTTAATAGTTTATATTTAACAATTAATAATTATTAATATTTATAATTTAAAATATCTAAATTATTTGATTAAAATTAATAACTGATAGATATTTTTAAAACTTTCAAAACAAGTGTCCCTTAACATATTAAGCAAATAAAAATTATTTTTATCAAATAAAAGTACTTAACAAAAATTTCATATAGAAAAAAAAATTTAATTATTATTTATATAAATTATTAAATTTGTATTCAAAATTTACATCTAAAAAAAAGTCAGATTGATAAACTCTATTAAAAATGAAATGAAAGAGTAATAATTTAAATATTAAATAGAAAAAAAATACAGACGAAAATAACGGACGAAATTCAAAAAATAAAATAAACCCGTCACTTTTGAATCAGGCAGAACAACAATTCAAAGATGACTCCTCTGTTTCCATCTCCCCTGGAGTGCCCCGTCGCTTCAGCTCTCCTCCTCCTCTCCACCACACCTCCTTCTCCATCTCCTCTCAAGTAAATATTCGATCTCGTTTTCTGTTTTGATTTTTGTGTTCGATCATGATTGCGCTTGTTTGGGCAGGTTGAAATCCGGTGCCGAGAGGTCAAAGGACAAAAAAACAGTGAAGAGGGCTTGAGCTTGGCTTCGATTGGATCGAAATCGTCCTCTTCGTATCTCAACAGTGATGTTTCTTCTAAGGAGGTTTGGCCGCATAAGCTGAGCTTTGTCGCCATTGAAACTGGCTGCCATGAACTCATGAAACTCAAGGTCGTGGCATTATCTGTATGTTATTTCTACTACTCGCTATTTATTGATCTAGTTGCTAATTTAGTTCAAATTAGATGAATATCTCAACGACTGAGTGATCTAAGCTTTAAATTTCGAAATAATTTGATTGGATTTGTGTTTGGCTCCATTGCATGGGTGAATTCATTTCGGAAAGGTGACGATCCTAAATCAGGAGGCAAATCCATAGGGATCCATGTCCATAGAGGCATCGTGCTTGTCGAGCAGCTCCAGGGCGTTCTTAAGCGCACAAAGCAAACACTTCGCCGGGGCTGAGAAAAAACCGATGGCAAATCTCGAGAAGTTAAGGAAGAAGCGAGGCGTCTCAAGTCACATATGCAACCGAGACAAAGGGATTTTGAAATTACCATCCGACGATGGTAGGGATGAGAACGGGCCCCTGTCTCCTCCCCATTCACGCCAATGGCAGGTATAAGGATATTTGCAAAGATTTTTAGTGGGGGCTAACAATGCCTTCTGTCCTTGTGGAGAATGGTACATTTTGATGGGTTTATGGCTTTCTCGTTAAATATTAAATATGTAAAATATAATATTTTTATATATAAAAATATTAAGTTTAAAATAATTTAAATAAATAAATGCATTATATATTTGAATAATGTCTGACTCTAACAAATATATATTACCCTGTGGATGGTAATTAATTTATTAAATTGGATTTGTTAGATTGGGTTTATGTAAGACTAAAACAGGAATTGAGCAGGATAATTTAAATTAGGTAAGTAAAAATTAATTAGTAATATATTTATAAAAATATTGATATTAATTTGTACTATAAAAAATTAAATAAAAT